AGAAGTCAACTGACTATAAATAGACTTTTAGCCGTATGAATATACGCTGCCCAGGGTGCACCACATGAAGGTAAGTCTATCACACACCACAGAATACATATTATATAAATATATTGTTTAAATGGTTGGCAAATGTGGCAAAGTTGGTGGATATCGAGTTATAACAGTTACCAGGAAGCAATCCTTTTTTGATTCCTAGTCACCACGCCAGTACCCTCCGATTCCCCGCCAAAACTAGTCTAATTGATTTCATCTACTTTTATTTTACTATTCGATTTCTACTTATTTTTTTCCCAACTCCAACCGATAAATACCACGGTCAAGTGCTCCAGTCCTAAATCTCATAAATGCCACTTTATACTATGATTTTTGATGCAACAGCTTCTGAATGTCGTGTGCATTACATGTTGTGCACCAGGTATTTAGGTCGCAATGCCATCTTATGGTAAGCAATACACTTGTCCAAATGGTACGAAGTACGTTAGCTTTATGAATGCACGGAGAGTTGTTTATTTTTTGTAAATCTTATTTGAATTGGCTACAAAAAGTAAATACTCATTTTAGATTAGCTGTCAAATCCGTCAACATTAGTTCTAATCGATGCAATTTATAATCACTTTTATTTTAGGTTAACAGACACAAGCGTAGCTGGCAATAATTTTGTTCGCTTAACTTGTACACCCCGAGATGGAATTTAGAAAAATTAAAGTGCAAACTAACGATGGTTTATTAATCGAATTAGACGATATCGTTGTGGACAACTGCTCAAAACTGAGTAATTTACTAAAAAGTAAGTTGAAGAATTGTAATTCTTAATTTTTTGAGAGTCCCCAAGTGAAATATCAATTTTGGAAAAAATACATTCAACCGTATTGGAGAAGATTATTGAGTGGTGCAATTTGAGTGTGGATCGCCCGATCTATGATGGTCCAGATCATGAGATGGAGAGGTGTAGGGGTAAACTTGCAGATTGGAATGAGAATTTTCTGCATGAAAATTTGGCCAATATTGGCGAAATTACCAGAGGAGCAATAGAGCTTGGTTGCTGGGGTCTGGCGAAATCATGCCGCTTTGTGGCGATACGTGATATGCATAAAATGAGCCCGCAAAAACTGTTCAAGGGAGCTTTATTTTAAATTTGCTTCCAAATACGGCTTGCAATATGCCTTTCCATCGATAAAACTATCGTTTGCATACGCCACGCCTAATTTAAAATCGGGTACACGGGTCCGAGTTTTTTGTAGAAAGGTTTAGAGGAATCCTTTCAATGATTCCACGGGTTTGTACTTGTTCGCAACTCAAGACAGTTTTTGGCACTATGTTCTGGGATAATCTCTTGATGTGTGACGATTGTACGATATTTAATTATGATTTATAACTATTATAGATGTCACCCCATTTTATATACTATTGGGTATTTTATAATATACCTACATCGTGTTCAACTGAAATAACTGGGCAGGTTGATTCTACGGAATGATTGGAAGGTAAAGTGGATAATGGAGAAAGCGTTTAATTCAGTCATGTTCGTGACGGTTAGTTAGTCATTATTGTGAATTAAAACAAAAACTGACGTCCGTTGGTCTTCCCAACGAGAGAGAGAGAGAGAGATACTTTCATTTTACTTAGGCGGAATACAAACGAGAAGCTTAAATACGAATGGAATTGAAATGATCTGTCTCAATACTTCACCAGGCGAAACCCGTAGGCGTTTACAAATGGAAATGCGTAAGACTTTTAATTTTGTGAGAAATATTTGCACCCAAGTGTCGTAATCATGGAACTGATTTGGCAGAGGTAAGATGGTAAAAAGAGCAGGACAGTGAGATTGATGAATGGAATGGAACAATATGTATGAAAGGGCGCATATTATTTCGTGTTTCATGAACCAGGTTACTCTATGAGTGATGCAAAACAATGCTATAAGCAAGTAATCTATTCTTCCTCTTACATTATTACAATTAACGGACAAGATTGAAAATGTACCTATTTACCGAAATCCCAAGACCTTGATGAGTCATTTAGTTATCATTTGAATCATTCTTAAATGTTAGCATCTCTAATCTGAAATGCGACCGATGTTTAGGATTTGTGAATAGAACTCTGGGCTTGCATTTTAATTTTTTTCTGGTCATAAATGTTTCGCTTAAGTTGAACACAGAAAATGATAAATCTGATGATGCCCTGAACCCTCACAAAGCCATCTACCTTCTCTCCGACCTTTACATATATACCTCAGCTACGATCGCTGCTTTCTCGATATCCGCAAAAAAAGCTTATTGATAAAGCAATCCTTACAGATCCCTTAGATGAGGTGTTCTATAATGAAACACAATAGAATGACTAATGAACATAGGTTATATTAATTACGTCATAATCCAATTTATTTAACCAAAGAAAATGAGAGAAAAAGAGGGAAGGGAAGTGATATAAATGTGGGCGAAGAGAGGGGGGAGAGGGTAGGTGAATAAACAAGAAAAGTTAGAATCACAGACAAGCTAATTCAATTTACTCCAACCTAGCTTTCTGTAAAAGCCTTGAGAAGAGCCTTTAATCCACCGGCTTTTTGAATGATCTCTAAAATGCGCCCTCTGAAATCATCCTCAGGCGCAATAGCACTACACGCTGCATGAAGTAAATCCTGACAATGCTTAGCTTCACGTTGTTGACAAGCGCCAAGCGAGGGAGGATTGGCTATGCAAATATTCAATCTAATTTGAGTAAATAAGCAATGGTGATAAATGAACAGAGTGGTTAAGTGATATATAAAATCACTGTTGCTTACATTGAGTTGGCAGGCAAAGATTTCAAATTCGATAAGAGGATGCAAACAGCGGCTACCCAGTAGCCATGGCATCTCAGATAAGTTCCTTTCGGGCCTTCCTCTGCATTGTGTTGTAGCAAAGAAGGTAGTGCAAGAAGCACCCATTCTCGGACTACTTCCCCACCTTTACGAGAAGACTTTGTCAAGGTAATAACAAGTTTACGAAGAACATTAGTAGCTAATAGGAGATATCCATCCTGTTCTCCGGAACGGCGGGCTACTTCGGATACCGCCTTATTCACCAAACCTCCCAAAGCCGTAGGATTAGGTGAAACTGAACCAAAGTACCTTCCAAGATCTTCCAGGAGACTTCCAAGTGAGAAAAATATACATCGGGCTTCGAATGGATTGATATGAGGGGAGGTATAGTGGGAATTGGGAGAGGAAGAAACTATCCGTAAATTTCCCCCTCTAAGACACTGCCACATAGCAGTGAGGTATTCAGTAGAGCTATTTAAAACGCTATCTGGGTCGATTTGATGTTCAGAATCACCATTTCGAGGGTCTGGAGATGTACGAGCCTGAAAATCAGCTGCATTAAGGGTATACAATGCTGTTGTCAGAAGATTGAGAGAAGACAGCCGAAGACTACTGGAATTGGAACTAATCAAACGATCTGTGGCTTGCTTAGCTAACAGCTATAACAAATAAGAAAATGAAGTAAAAAATGGCAGCAAATATCTTGGAACAAATGAATTACAACTTTTAGGTACAATGATAAGACTTTTGTGATACTGGCCCAGCGATAAGTGGCCTTCTAAGCAGTGACAAATACATATATAATAACCTGTTAAAATAAGATCTGGGGGCCGATGAAATTGCGAAAATTGGCTGACAGCTATTTTTGGCTGCTTAAAGGAAGGGTAGTATGCTTGAATATCTTTAATACATCTGGACAAAACGACTGAATGCTATTCTGTAAAATTTAGCCCCAACACCCTGAACATCCCAAGGAGCAATGCTGCAACTGACGCCAATGGATTCAACATAAGTACGCTTAAGAGTTGAAAATGACACGCATTAAGATTTAAGTCTTTCAAAAAAATACTTTGAGACTTCTTCAAGTTGAACAATGGCAGATTATAAAGTATTTTACTTATGTATTTGGGTTTTTGGGTGAATAATCCAGACCTTCTGCACATAAATAAATAGGTTTGTTTAGAAGATCGTGCAGACCCTGGCTAACGTTCAGCTACCCCCCCCCCCAGTGATTCGGTGCTCTGCATCAGTCTTGCTTCCACACCCCTCGTTTTAGTAACCAAATAACCTCCCACTCTCTCCACCTGTCTATATACCAATCACGTCGTGCTTCACCTTCTGATTTAACCAGATATTACGTGTCCTCGGTTTTGGAGTGTAGAACGAGGGGGGGGGGGGTCAAAGTGTGGTAGATCAGGTGGAATCTTTTATTTGCAATAACAGAATCTTAAGTTGAACTGTGAATGAATCAGTCTCATATTTTGTATACTTATATAAAGCCCATGATAACAGAAGCGATTTCTACATATTGAAATGTAGGCATATAGATAATGCTCATCTTATTGATATTATTCTACTGTACTGATGACTTAGTATATTTTCAGATTTTTAGGCAGTCAAGCTTCTACACATTGAGCTTTACAACTTAGCGATATTTACAACACTCAAGTAAGGAGGATAACGCCTACCTCCACCCTTCTGACAGATCAACTCACTCCAACTTGATGAATGTTAAGCTGCAGCTTTTAATGACCTGCTTATTAAATTATAACAAGGGATTCTAGAATACACAAGGATGGTTCTAATTAAGCGAGTTTAAATACCGTTCATCATTTCCAAAAAAACAATAGTTAGGGCTGAACTTGTTTTAAGTAATTTTCTCCCACACGGATTTTGAGACTTACTTCACAATCATCGCGGCGAACTATTCCACTGAGAAGAAGGCGTTGCATTCCACGGACCCAGGAGTTGACCACACAATCCGCACAAACCAAGGAGGCTTGAGTTTTCGAGAACCGAGTTTTAAATACCTGGAAAGTTGGAAAATATGCCTATATTCTTCTTAATAGTAGGTAGGAATTATAGACATTTATTTATTTGTTCCAGATTGCAGGCGGTTTAATAGCTATCATTAGCCCTTTAGATAACTTCGGGCTTTACAGAGAGGAGGAGGAGGAACATCAAATTAACAAAATGTCGGGATGGAGGGACAGAATAATGATTCACAGATGTAAAAGAGACAGACAAGAACAGAAGAGCGTTTCACAGATGTAAAAGAGGCAGACAGGGAAACAGAAGAGCGATTCACGGATGTAAAAGAGGCAGACAGATGACAGAATAATGATTCACAGACGTAAAAGAGACAGACAGATATGACACAAAGTTATAAAAAAGGTAAGATGAGTACTGTGAAAGGGGGCGAATGACACGAGGGCAGATAAAAGGTAAGATGAGTACTGTGAAAGGGGTCGAATATGACACAGTCGGGTCATGGTAGCTTAAAGTCAGCAGTAAACTGCCTATTAATAGACTGTTTTGCCGTATGAGCATACGTTGCCCAGTATACCCCACGTGGATGTAAGTCTATCGCACGCGCTGGAATTATAAATATTGAAGTTACAAGACTTCTCATACGATAAGTAGTAATTTTCCAAGATATTTAGAAGAAAATCAAATAATAAAGTTCTGGCCAGTTGTAGTAGCCACAGTGGAAACTATCGCTGTTCTACCGTCGTGTGCACAAACATGACTCCGTACTTTTTGGCCATATACGCAGTATGCTGTAAATAAACTTGTTCCTCGAAAATCCCCTTGACTAATATCGTTCAATTAATGAGAAATAAGTAAAGATTTAAAAAAAGAGAAGACTGCAAACACCTTAAAATACTCTAATGACTCAAAGGTAGACATGCATCACATGACCGCAAAATAGTGATCCTCTTCCAAAGCATTGGCTACTTGGCAATGTAATCAACTGGCTACATTTTCCTGATTGTTTAAAAACAATCGGGCGTAAATCTTTTAGTCCAAGGGTTAGTAAAACTAAGATGTTCTTTAAGTCAAAGTAAATTTACCAATGATAATCGTGCTGGAGGTGAGAAATCCCGCTTCACGTCGTGCAACATGGTCTCAGCCAATTGAATCAACTGATTAGTTAGCCTTATAACTAATCGACCAATAGCAGTTGTTTCTGAACCTGCCAATGGTGAGAATTGTTCCGCGATAAAGAAGGCAGTTGCCAAAACTGTACATTGATGGGAGGATATGCGTTCGGCAGCCCATTCAGATGGGGGTCTCGTCTTGAAAGTCACATCAGCTAGAATTACAAACGAAAAAACCACATAATTGCTAGGACTTAAATTAGGTGTTCTTTAGCTTCACTAACCAGCTCGATTAAGAACAGAGTTCGCATTTCGAAACGAAGCACTCGATCTGTCATTATTCATCGACGCATTTCGAACAAGACCAGCTGTAATTTTCGACACTCCACTACCAGTATTTGTACTGCTAATGCGTAGAAGATTAGCCGGTGCATTCTTGGTTTCAGTCCACCTCTTATGGAGAATGACTTCCGATTCAAAGAGATTTTCCAATCGATTTTCTAAATAGAGACAGACTTGTAGGAGAAGCATGTTCAGTATCGCAGAGCCTGTTGGCGGGTTATTAACCAGTGCGGGCTGCTGAAGAGCTGGATGCTTGGTAGCCCGGAGTAGAAGAACTGCCTGAAACATATCCATAGCCCCACGAAGTCCAGCATCTTGGAGTGCCACCGACGAAGAATTCGAGCATCCTATAGCTCCTGCCACAATGGAGACCGCGGCTTGAAGATTATTCACCAGGAGAATGGGAGCCGAGTGGTGTTGCTGAGGTGCTTGGGTAGTTGAAAGACTCGAGTAATCTGTTGGAGTGGTTGGATCATCAGACGAGGACGAATTATCAATATCTATTGAGACTGGTAACATTGTAGCTTCAAGAACAGCTGTACAACGTGCTAAACCTGTTGTAAGCCAGGTGTAAATGGGTGCCGGTGAAAAATCACAACCCTCTTCCTCAATACGCGGAAGACTTTGATAAACTAAAATTAATAAATTTCACGTGTTAGAATTACACAGCTTAAAATACAATTACTTTGTTGAAATTTCAATTGTAAGTGTCAATGAACAACTAGAAGCGTTATAATTTCTAACAGGGAGATTAACAAATGATTCAAGTTGGTATAAAAAGGAGGATGGGAGTCAGAACATTTAATTGCGAGGGAACTCGGTTTTCGAAATTCACATACGAAGCACAATTCAGTACGAAATTGCCCAGTGTCAGAATGCGGCGATTAAACTCGTTGAATCATGGACGAGATTATCGCCACGGCGTACAATTAGTTGACAGGCTGGTCATACCACCTCGATTTATTCACAGCCTCTTGGAGTCAAAAGCGGGATGATGGAGACAGCTGTCAAGTCCTAACATTTGCCTCTTCTACCTAACACAAGTATATTGGGTCTCACTCTTCCTCTCTGTACTATGGTACTCAAACCTACCGATTCTACCCACATTATAATCATCATTTGACACATGGCAAACTAAATGAGTGAATTCCCTCCCCCCCC